AACCATGAGAGACTATGGACTCTGAAAAACAAACTGAGGGTTCTAGAGGGAAGGGGGTGGGGGGATGGGTTAGCCTGGTGATGGGTATTAAAGAGGACACACTCTGCATGGAGCACTGGGTGTTATACGCAAACAATGAATCATGGAACACTACATCAAAAAAAAAACATTACAACACAATTCATAACCCTCTTAAACACAGACACAAAAACTGTTAACAAAAATAACGAGAAAATCTAATTGACAACATGTGAAGAGGTAATAATCACTAACAAGTGATGTTTATCTCAGGAATACAATACTGACTTAAAACTTGAAAAACAATGTGATACACAATATTTACATAAAAATGAAGAAATATCATATCATCATCTCAATAAATGTAGGCATCTGACAAAATTCAAAATTCAGTTCTTAGCACACCAAGAGAAAAGAAGGAAACTTCATTTCACAAAGGGCATCCAAATATCACCGAGAGCTAACATCATACTTACCTGTGAAATCCAGAACACTCCCTTCCTAATTAAATGTGGAACAAGGTACAACTTTTTCTTTTTTTTTTTTTAAGATTTTATCTATTTATTTGAGAGCACGAGAGAGAGCATGAGCAGGGAGAGCGGCACGCAGAGGGAGAGGCAGAGGGAGAAGCAGGCTCCCCACTGAGCAGGGAGCCCGATGTAGGACTCGATCCCAGGACCCTGGGATCATGACCTGAGCCGAAGGCAGCTGCTTAACCGACTGAGTCACCCGGGCTCCCCCAAGGTATAACTTCTACTCAGCTTTATATTGGAGGTCATGAGCCAGTACAAAACGGTAAGGAGGAAAACAAAAAAAACAAAACAAAACAAAACACTATTTTACTCACAGACACCTGAACTTCTGCAACCGTTTATACAGAAAATCCCTACTAAAATTAATGGTGAAACTAGCAAGGACACAGGGCACAATAACAAAATATGCAAATCGTCTGTCTTTTCTACAACAACAGAAAAATACTGGAAGGGGTGCTTGGGTGGCTCAGTCAGTCAAGCATCTGACTCTTGATTTCAGCTCAGGTCATGATCTTGGGGTCCTGGGATCAAGCCCCGTGTCGGGCTCTGTGCTCAGCGTGGAGTCTGCTTGTCCTTCTCCCTCTGCTCCTTTCCCCGCTCGCTCTCTCTCAAATAAATAAATAAAATCTTTTTTTAAAAAAAGAAAAATACTGGAAAATGTATTTTTAAATTCCACTTACAACAGTAGCATCAAGAAACATGAATTCCTTAGGAATAAATTTAAGAGTTCAAGAGTTCCTACCCTGAAAACTACAAAACACTGCTGATAGCAAACGACCTCAATAAACAAAGAAACAGCAGGTACTGAAAAACTTGGTAATGCCAAGCTACCCACAGGTGAATGGATGAATAAATTGTGGTCTATCAGTACAATGCAGAATGTCTCAGCAATAAAAAGAATGAACTAACACACAGAAGAGCATGGCTAGCTCTTCAAAACATTATGCTGAGAGAAAGAAGGCAAGACACAAACCAGTACATAGCCTAAGATGACATTTAGATGAAACTCCGGGAAAAGCAAATCCAACTGACACTGACAGAAAACAGGACCAAAGATCTTTTTTTGGTGACAGACATCTTCATCTCTTGATGGATGAGGTAATTACACGAGTAACTACATGTGTCAAAATCCAAAGTGTGTATTTAAAATGGGTGCCTACTATTTGTGGTTCTGGCGGTCATGTCCTTCTGAAACTGCTGTATGTTTATGTCAGAGAGCTGGGATTTCTAGCACACGTGTGCTAAGAAAACTTACCCAACTCCTGTAAATAAGTCAAACGAGGATTTCACTTCCTTTTGATCATATTGGAGCACTAACAAACCCACCCAAGGATTATTTACGTGTCATTTCATTTTGCTTGATACTTATTATTCGTTAGGGCCAGACACTTAAGTTACATGATTACTGGTATATTTTTGCCCGTAAGGGATGCAAATGATTTCTGTTCAGTAACCCCAGAAGTTACTTCTTTCTGGACACGGAGATGAGGAGCAGTGCTGTATTTGAATGAGCCACCCCATCCCAGCGTTCTTTCCTCAGGGACCATAAATACTGAATTACACAAATGTTCTTGAGCTAGTCTCACCCTCCTGCCTGTCCAGTGTTCTTATGAATGAGTTAAATGTACTTTTGACAGGTTCTTTCTTTACTTGTATGTATAATATTTTTAACATTTTGAAAATTATTCTTTGAGAGGAGTAGATACTTAAGATTCACGAAATTATTTAAAGACCCTACATCCTAAACCTAAATCCAAAGTATAGGTTTGAAAAACAAAAAG